GTTTAGCTCACAAAACATAATATAATTCGTAGGGACTGTAAATAAATTGCAGAAAAAAAGTAAGCGGCAGAACAAGTTAACAACAGCTAGGAACTCCAAAGCGGTGATCCTAAGGCTTCCTATAGCTCCGGAAAGCAATCCAATGGTTTCCTACGACTCCGGGCAGCAGCCATGAAGCCTAAACAACATCCTATAGCTCTCCTACAACTCTCCCAACACCTGTACGACAATGGACAACACCTCTAAAGTAATTAATAGCTTCCAACCAGCCACTTACAGTAATGGACAACTTCGAAACAGCCATTTACAGTAAAGGACAGCTTCCAAACATTTCTTACAGCAATTCTAAACCCCGAACAACACTTCTACAGTGATTAGCAGCTTCCAAGCAGACAATTACAGCAAAGATCAGCTTCCAATCAGCACTTCTACAGTTCTCAGTGACTCCAAACAGCAATTTGAAACACCAAACATCACTTGTATGGCTTCCTACGAACCCAAACAACAATTTGAAAGATCAAACAACACTTTTATGGCCTACTACGAACCCAAACAGCAATTTGAAAGATCAAACAACACTTTTATGGCCTCCTATTAACTCAAACAACAATTTGAAACACCAAAGAACAGTTTTATGGCTTCCTACGAACCCAAACCGAAATTTGAAACATCAAACACACTAGGCAACACCTAATTAGCTCCTAACAGCCAACTACAGCACCAGACAGCACTTTCAAGTATTTTCCAACACTTTACAGCGCCCCTAAAGCCACCAAACAGCACTTTAGATTTGGCACAAAACCCCTCAAAAATAGCAGTACACTCCGGGAAGCAACAACACAAATATAGTTGAACAGATCTGATCATAGGCTAAAAGGTGCAATCAATTAGAAAAGTAAAAGAATTCAATTTTATTTCTGGTAAATTCTTCTACCCCAAGTAGCAGACTTTATTTGGATCCCCCCTACAGCATTCAGGCTTCGAAAAATGAAACCACTCCTTCGAATGAATGAGGTTAATTCCCACATGGTTTAAACGAATGGCAGTTAAACACAGACCACTTAATTCTCATGAATTTACATGTCCATCACCAAAACAACAATTTTTACTTACATAACAACTTACCTAAGCATGAACATGTTTATTTTACTTTCTTAAAAGTTAAAATGGTGATATTTGTTATGTGCTAGGAAGGATTTGAGTGGTATGTGTGTAAAAATTGAAGTTTGGGTGTTAGATATGTATATGCAAAAAGATTGAGTAGTATGCATGTACACAAATCTTCCAATATGGGCTGTATTGTATAAATAAAATGAGCAAGTATGGGAATAAAACAAGATTTCGTTACCCATTTACTACAATTGTTGAGGTTCTGTGCTCCAAGCGCTCAACAACTCGGAGAAGTCGTGTTCCTTGCTATCCATGCTACCTCCAATTCGAGCGAGACGGGCGAGAGAGAGGGTGGGAGAGATCCTGGTAGAGAGAAAGAGTAGACTCCAGCAAGGGGGAAGAGTTCGCTTGAGAGAGACGGTGAGCCGAGCAGGTCTGTTCGCGAAGAAGTGAGGGGAGGCGAGTCTTTCGGTGGGGTGAGGAGGCGAGCCGAGAGCAAGCCGAGAGAGGAGGCAGCAAAGCAAGGGAGTGGGGTTTCGGTGTCGAGCGGGAGAGGCGAGCCGGGCGAGAGAAGGGAGTCGAGGAAAAGAGGTTTGTGGCTTTGGTGCTGGAGATCGGCAATCGAGCGGGAAAGGGTCGAACGAGGAGGAGAGCGGGCGTCGGATGGAGAGAGGCGAGGCGAGTGTTACGGTGCAGAGAGGGTTTGTCGAGTCGAGCGGCTGTTCGATGCAAAGGAGAGGAGAAGGCAAGCGAGGGAGGGCGAGCACGAAGAGGGAGCTGGGCAGCGATCAAGAGAGGGGGAAGGTGTCGAATGAGGAGCCCGGATCTCGTCGTGAGAGGAAGATGGAGTCGAATGCGGGTGAGAGTTTTTGGTGTCTTCTTCGTGAGGAACGCGAATGAACAGATCACTTCGGTGCAGAGGAGAGAAGCCAAATTCGGTGGGGGGAGAAGGAGAGTCGAATGATTTTGTAAACCGGATTTCAAAAGCAATAGTTACGAGAAGGTGAGCAGGTAATTAAATGGTTTCCAATCAGATTCTTTCGTCTTAAGTGGAAAGTTGTAATGTGTATTAAATTCAATTAGGGATAAATTAAGCGGTTAATTTGAAATTTAAACTTTCAAATTGTGAATTATGTTAGTGAATCAACCTGGAATAACTGACCCATGTTCAGCCCAAATCGGATTTGAGTCAAACCTGGTTTGATCTCGGGCCCGCGTCCCGCTAAAAAATAATATGCATCGTTTTTCGTGTCATTTGTGTGTGCGTGTAACCTTAACAATATGGGTGTCCTTCCTGGCTAAAATCGATGTCTTCGACGCATCCGTGTGGTCCATTTTGTCATCCAGAGTCGTCCGAGCGAGTTCGCCGACGATCGGGCAAAAAAAAAGTGTCAAATTGTGGCGTCTAATCCTGAGGGAACTCATTTTCAGGCCCTCTACATACTAGTCCTTAGTCCTTGCAACTAAGAGTCGAGTGCATGGGACTACTCATGTGAGGCCTGCACAAAAATGAGTCAAGAAGTGACTCGAAGTTTTACGGAAAGTGGGTTCCATTACTAGTCCGCTAGGATGATCAACAAAGAACTCTTAAGGCTAGATTATGGGTTCTAAGAGTAGGAGACTAAGACCTCACTGAAAATAAGATCAACAACAGCGGGCGATAAGCATAAGGCGAAAATGGCATGTGGTGGGGCATCAAAAGTGAGCTTAATAAGGCATTTGAATTTGCTCTACTAAGGCTATTTTTTTTTTCAAAAGCAAGGAATGCGCAAGTTTTAGAGTATTTCATATTCTTCAGAATTTTACTTTATATATCTTTTACTTCATGCCACATAAAAGACCACTAAAATGCAAAGAAACAAAATGCATTAACCTACTAATGAAATTGACCAAATAACCCTAAAAAAATTATTTAGTACCACTAACTAAATTACACTTGATTCTAATTAGTATTGCAACTTTAATATTGCCCACCTATATAATTCTTAATTATTTTTTAAGATAAATAAAATTAAGATTATTTATTAATAGCTAATCATGTCTATTTTCTCCATTTAATCAATTTCAGTTACTTTAAACAACTTTAACTATCATAACATAAAACAATAAAAACAATGGACTTGTGCCAAATAGTTATCCTCTTTACCTGACATAACATCAGATAACTTTGCGAGAAGGTGCGTTAATAAACTATGCATTATCTTGAATGATAAATTTAAATTGCATATCTAAAAAATTCATTAGTTGGAACCGCGCAAAAAAAAGAAAACTGTTTAAAATAAAAATAAAAATAAAACTAGCATAAATGTGATCCAAGATCATTTTTTATAAAGTAAAATTGAACCATTGGAGTCATTTAAATATTGCATGATAGGTACACACATGGCATTAAGCCAAACATAATTGTTATTAATAAAAATGTCGACCATCTACATGTTTGAACCATCCAGAGAAACTATGTTAACAACCTTAATCCCCCGCTACAACTTACAACATGGCAAACAAAAGTGTTTTCCATTGAATTAAAGCATCAAACGTTCAGTGGCGTGTAAAACATCATAAGATAATAACCGCTGCCTTGAAGGGAATAGTCTTTCTAGTCATGGTTCAAAAATTCAACTCCAACAAACCTTAGCATTTTCAATAACTTAAAAAAATCAAATAGATCATAACTAGTGCATAGAATTTATATGCTACACTTTCAATGCAGCCCATTTAGAAAACCATAAGAATTGTTTGGAATGACCAAGCCTTGGCTCAGCTGCTAGTTCTAGGAAAAAACTAAAGAGTATATTGGCCACTATCACTTGTGTGGAAGGGTTCGTCCTCTTCAATGTCATCTCTATAAGGGTAATGTGCCCCCTTTAGTATATGATATACAAGGATAAATTTATATAATTTTTCAGGAAAACCAAAAGAGTTGTCCGGCAAACATTGGCATTAATTCTAAACAAGCATTATTGTCTTGATCAAATTCAAGAGTTTAAAGTGTAGGTTTTAATTTCATCCTTAAAAATATATACAACGATCATATATCATCATTAAAATTTGGCCACAAAGGTTGCATATCTAAAGAAACACGTCCCACAAAACCTAAAACTATCTCAGTTGCTAGATTTTACTATTTAAGAATAACCACTATGCGATAAACTCATAATCAAATTAAAAACTAATGGAAGGTACTTGTCATACTTTAACTTTGCATCCATATTAAAAAGTCAAATAAGAATCTGCCATAAATTTAAATGAAAACAAATGTGAATTTAGAAACAAAATGAACTGAAATTAAATATCCAAGTATGATATAAGAGGGTAACAAAATTCAACGTTCATGTTTGTGCTGAGCATATGCAAGCAGCTAAAATGAGCTTAATAAAGTAATTAAATTGAGCCTAATCATATATGCCAGCATGGTTTTATTCTATTTGACATTTATTTGAAGGTTTGTAAAAGTAGAAGTATAATGATATGTTAAGAAAATGCTACACACACTAAAAAATAATCCATAATCCATCAATATGCATACAGTTGAAATAGATTATGGACAGTCTCTAAAAATTACATTATTAGGTGAAAACTATGAAGCAAATTTACAATTAAAGTATCACAGAGACACCTGTGCGATCCAATTTTTCCTGGGTTGTTAATTATCCGCAGCTTCTCAGAATAATGGCAAACAAAGAAAATTATATAACAAAAGAATCTCTCCTGACAACAGGAAGGAAGCGTTAAAACCAACTCAATCAATAACCTAAAACAGCATAGAGGTACTGCATCCATATTAAAGAGTCTAAACATGGTTTAACATTTCCGGCAAGGAAAAAGATACTTCCAATAAAACCTTTTGTAGTATAATTTAAAAAGAAAGAAGCAATGAATGAGGATGGTACCTTCTGAACCTAGACTATGGCACAACCATATGTAGCACAGAGCTGACTAAGAGCATTTTGATTGACTGGATCCACAAACTTTTCAATGATCCCAGGGTATCTTCCTGGACTATGTGCTGAAAGACCAGCAAGAGATTTGATCAGAAATTCCTTTGGATCCTTAGTGTCCTTCAAAGGATCCTCCTCATTTTTCCCAGCATTATGCAAGCGAGCAAAAGATGCTGAGTAGCCCACATTTTCGGGAACATCTATTATTGCATTTTCTAAATCAGCTCCAGATTGCTCTGGTTGGACAAGCAGAGCAATTATACTGTCAAGCATCTTGCCCCATAGTTCCACTGCTGAAACTTCCAATAGAGTGGGAGACTCGCAAATTAATCTTGTAGAGGCAACTGAAGTCAACTTCACTTCAATGGTACCCGAAATTAACTTTAGATTTGGAATCCAGAACCTATCCATGATAGCTACAAAAATATTAGCTTGAACTGCATTTATGGAGTCAACCAGAACAGCAGCGCCATGTTTAATCAAAACCAGTGACATGAAAACCACAAGTGAGTTCACAAACTTTACAGTAGGTCTATTTTGCAGACGAGTGAAAAGTGCAGCCCAGATATGAGCAATATATTGTCCTATCATATCAAACCCAAGGTTCTCCACAACAGTATTCAGCACATAAAAACCCAGATCTTCAGTATTGGATGTTGATACAAGCTTGTTAAATATTCCAAGTACTTGACTCAATCTTCCCTCATTGTTAAGCTCTGCATTTGGAACTTTTTGAAGGTACGCCTGCAGCAGGCGAACCAGGGCAGGAGCATTTGCAGGCCTCTTCCAAGTTTCTGGCATTAGAAGAACCTTGAAGAGCTCCATGTAATTATGTGAGAGGGGAGGCCTGCTGAGCTCAACAAGCTGGGCAAATATCTGGAATGCATATGGCCAAAATTCAGTCACATCATTCCTTAAAATATTTTCAAGAACTGGGAAAAGTGCTGCTTCAAATGCTGTGATCAGTGATGGTTCTTTCTCGCATGTTCTCCTGATTAAAGCAGCAATTGATTCAAACAAATAATGATTGAAGACCGGGTTTGTGGGATTCTTACACACTTCTGCAAGAACTGAAACGAGGCAAACAATGCATTGCTTAGCAATATCACCACTAATATCAGCTGCCCCAAGAACCCTCATGATGCACTTCATAATATATTGATTTTCCTTTGAATCGGGCAACTGTAATGCTTCGAAAAGATTTCTAATTAATGGTGCCAGGTGGGGATTAATATCTAAAGCACCATACCGTGGCTGAAATGCCACAATACTCACTGAAGATCTTTCCCTGTCCCCTACCAGCAAAAGCTTCTCTATACAATTTGCTGCATAGGAATGAACCACATTAGAATTAGCTCCAATAAAATTTATCACGTCTTGCAAGAGAGCAATTGCTGTGTGCTTGGGAATCTGTTCACAGAACACCGTAAAGAATTTCATAGCAGAAGCCTACAAAATTCCTCCTTCATTCACATTTCCCTGCGAAACTCAGGAACCACAACAGAAGTGAAGAAGCTTTCCACATCTACAACCTGGGTCCCCACCACGATTCCACCTGCCCTTGCTGCCAGTGAAGTCACCAAATAAATTGCAGCATCCTTCTCCTTCCAGTTCTCTGACTGGTTTGCAGAATATAACACCAGCATGTTCTGTATCTGACCCGATACCAATGTCATTACCTGCTCCTTATAGTTTGCAGCCAGACCTTTCAAAAGCTCACAGGCAATTCGCCTCCGGGTATCCACATCACTTCCCTCAATGTCTCTACGTATGTACTCAACATAATTCATCTCAAAGAGCTCCTCATCATCATCCCTAAGTCGTACGTTTGGGAAAACAATACTCTGGCAAATCTGCTGCAGGATTTCTGGGCTCCCAAATAGAGAATGGTGGACACTAGTGCTGACTGTAGTGAGGAACCGGATTGCCGTGATGGTAAGCTGATCACGGGAGGGTGAAGAAGCCTGGGTCAAGAGGAGATTCCAGACAGCAGCAGCAAAATCCTTGAGGTAATCCTTAAACTCCTCCTCATTTTTCTCCATATAGAGTTGGAGATTCTCACACACTGCCGAGCGGAGGGCATCAACAGTGCCATTAGCCTCCACTGCTGCTGGGAAGGTGTTGGTGAGGTAGCTCAGGAACTCAGTCATCCACTCTCTCATGTGATCCTCAAAGAATTCAGGAAGCTCGATGGAGTTGAGAGAATAGAAAATCTCACAGCAGAGACGCTGGGACTCAAAGAGGAGGCAAAGAGCATCAGGGGATAACGAGCCGGATGTACTGCTTCCGAAGATGATCTGAGAGGTCTTGAGGAATATCTCGAGGAGAGGAGAGGAAAAACCATCAAGGCAGTACTTAAGGTCTAGGCGAAGAGCAGAAGTATCAAATGAGTGGCGAAACTTAGAGAAGATGGAGTTGGCCGCACCGAGGAGGCCGTTGATCTTAGCATAGTCTATCTCAGAGCGGAGGTTGGAAACTAGTTCCGGCAAAAGGGTATGCCAGGATTGCGGGAAGTCGTGGGAGGAAATAATGGCAAGGGACTCGCTAAGCTGATTACGGATCCGAGGAGCAGAAGAGAGCATGAGTGCAACAATGCGATCCTTGATCACGGTTTTTTCAGGATCGGGGATGGGGGAGAAAGAGGAAGGGGGCCATCGGGCGCGAATGTGGTTCTTGAAGTGTACGGCTGCTGCGAGGCGGACCTGCTCGTCGGCGGAGGGCTCCGAGACGAGGCGGAGGACAGCAAGTGAGAAGCCCTGCTGGTTTGCAGCTTCGGAGAGAGAGGATTCGGAAGCGCGGCGTGGCTCGGCAAGGGGAGAGAGGGAGAGAAGGAACCAATCGGAAAGGGTTTTTAGGGTTTCCGGGGATACATCCATTAGCGGAGAACAAGAAGCTGGGTAAACAGATGCGGGGAAGGCAAGCAACGACTTTTATCAGCAAGAGAAATTGGAGAATATCGGGCCAGAATTCACCGGCAATGGACAAATTCTAAACTGAAGCAATGGAGAGTAGACATTCGATAGTGGACCAGGGTTTTGCGGGCAATCCAGAAAGGGTTTCGACGCTACGGTGAATAATGAACACCTGCCTTACTAACTATTTATAGAGCAATTAAAAAGGAAATATTTATAAGATACATCCAACACCTAAAATTTAAAATTTATAGTCTTATCATGTTGATATAGTAAATTTATGCATAAAATATATAATTCTCTTTTAAAAAATTAGTGATTATAAAACTTTTGAATCAGTTGGCTTTAAATATGAAATTTTGGGTATTATATATGGAAATACTTAAAACACTGGGATATTCATTTATACAATAAAAAGTAGCTATTCGGACTACAAGGTACTATTAATCTTTGAATCTTTTCTTGCCCCGGAGACAATTGACAAAAAGATGAGTCTAGGAGCAAATATTGAGGGCAATGATTCTTGAATGATAAACATTAAAGCAAAAGTCAATTGGAAGTAGAAGATATAGTATCGAAAGTCGAGCATCAAGAGGCGAATGTGGAAGGTAAAGTATCAAGGATTGAGGATTGAGGATTGTATACAGTAGACCAAGCATCGAGTGCCGATTACATAAAGTCAAGTACCACGGGTTGAGTGCGTAAGGTCAAGTATGAATGACTAAATACAAAGATCCCCAAAAATAAAATTTTGATTGTACATGATCTCTCGCCTACTTCAAAGTGGAAATCTCAGACAAGATCTCGATTTTTATGATGATGTAACCAAAAAAAGGCAGTTATGTATCCATAGAGGTCAATGCATAATAAAGGTCTTTTTTTATCCTTTTAGAGTAACCAACAACTAAAAAGTGGGTATTAAATGTAAAAGATTCTCACTCTTCAAATCTAAAAAAACTCAAATTATTAAAATTTAGCTCATTTACTCGGTGGTCAAGCTCCCACTCACTTTCTCTCCCTCATTTGTGATTCAAGGACAAAACGGAATTCAATGCCCTAAAAAAGTGTGATGAGCATGAATTATGTTAAAAATAAGAAGATAGGTCAAGCAAGGACAATAAATAAACTATAAGGAAGTCATAAGCAGCATGGATTGCATCAGAGAGTTTCTTGCTCAATAGATCAATAAACTCAATGAGCAAATGATGGAGATGATCAGAAGAACTCTTGCACAAGAGGTAGTGCTTCCTCTTTGTTTGGTGTCACTCTCGACTGAAGAGGCAAACTAGATTTCAATGCCAGAAGAACTCCCTCACCAACCATAAGGGAAGAAAATGTCTCCTATTAATTAGGCAACACCGAAAAGGTGAGATGATGTGACCATACCAACAAAAGAACACCTTCTCTAAAGAAATCTCTAAAGCTAAAGCTTATAAATACTTTTAAGTTCCCAACATTTGAATCCTATCATGGGGGGTCGGGTCTCTTTAATCTTGTCGGCTCTTTCAATTATGCAATGCATTTTCAAGAGTAAATGACGCACTCAAGTGTTGCTCTTTTTCATGACTCTAAAAGATTCTCCCTATCAATAGTCCAACATCTTACTATCGAGAGTAATCATTGCCTTTTATAATTTAGAAGAATATTTTATGCATAATTTGATAATGTAGAAAAGCTCGTAGGCCTTATTATAGCTTCCCTATGGGCGTAAAGAAACCTTATGTGCTTTTATGATCTACTTTCAAAAGGATATTTTGGAGGTATGTGATTTAGAACCCATGTCACTCATGCTTCCCAAGCATAGAGGCAGAGAGAATGTCTTTTTCACTATGTGCTTGTCCTAAAGTTTCAAAAAGTATTGGTTGAGTTTCTGGAACTTCTTAACAGTCACATATCAATTGAAGAATATAACTCACCCTCACTCTCTTATATGTTCATCATTCAGAGAAACATCCACCAAAGAGAAACTTTTGAGAAATTGAGTGGAGATAGAGTTGACCTCGTATCTAGCAACCAGAATTACATTCAAGTAGCACCTTCATTGATTGTTATAGAGGAGAAGTTATATGTAGGAGCAAGGAGTCCATCAACTAAACAGGTGAGTTTGCCATAAAAATATGCAAATTTATCGCCACTTAGGACAAAATCTCCACCCCCAACTCATAAGATTGTTATGTGATACACCAAAATAATATATTGTTTTAAATACCTATTTTTTGTTTATTTTTGGTGATATTGCACTTTAAAGAATGGTATTTTTGTGTTTTTATTGCAGGTATGTTATTTTTAGGCATTTTGGAGCAAAAATGGCAAAAATGAAAAAATTATGAGCAAAAAGAGCTAATTTTGGATTCTAGCGCATCATGTGTCATGTGCCAGATTGACACATGATGCGCCAAAATCCAAAGAACTGGCGCATGATGCGCCACAGACAACTTTTTCATATTAAGGTGATTCAAGACAAATTTTTGCACAAATTTCAAATGAACAATTGTTCTATACATCTCTTGGAGTAATTAAATGCATCTATACACTTTGGAAGATGCTTTTATGAAGAGATATGACTCCTAGATTAAATGACACATCTTTTGAATTCAAAAGAGTTGACTTTTGGAGGGAATTTTGAATTCTTTTATTAAGGAGGCAACCCAAAATAAAAGAATAAGACTTCTCATTTGTGTGTATGTAACGTGAGAGAGAGAGAGAGAGAAAGTGACGTGAGGGAGAGAGAGAAAGTGGTGTGATTTAGAGAGAGCAAAGAGATTTTCTTCTAGGGCTGTAAGAGGAGAGGGAAGGTAAGAGATTTCTTCTTCATTACATTTATAAGAGAGAATTGGGAGTGATTGTAAAGAGAAAAAAATTTGGAGAGAACTTCTAGGGATTTTCTTGGGAAGGATTGTGAGATAAGTTGTATTTGTATTTCTTTTGTTTTGTAAACTTATTTTTATATATGAAATTTGTGTATCCTTCTCATGAATTCTGAGTAATCTTCTTTATCCTTTTCCCTACTTTGAAGATATGGTTTTGTGAATAATAGATTTTGTTTTTCCAGAGTTTTAAATGATAATAATTTGAACTCCGATCTTCATTTACTTTTTAATCTGGCCAATTGAAATGCTAAATTTGTTAAGAGACATATGTTCTTAAATGAGATGATTTATTACAACATTGGGAGAATATATTTAACTTCATGGGAGAGTATGTCATCTATGGGATTAGGTGCAAATAAATAGGAAAATATACTTTGTTTGATGTAGAATTGGAGATTTTAAGGTGACAGATTAAAACCCCCAATTTGATTCAATTTAATGGAAACTAATGAGAGATTGTTAACCCCCAAGGGAGTGAGTAGTGGGAGCTCTGAAGTAGCAGCCAGTATCCTCTCGGTATATTCCAACCTAACCACAGAATTAAGGATCAAACTCTAGATTAGTCAATGTTCTTTATAGTACTTGAAAGAGGGTAAGAAAAAAATAGAATTGCTCCTATTTGGCACAAAACAGTTTTTATAAATATTTTCAAATGATTTTAATTTATTCACAAACCGTATACTCATTGTAAATGGGAATGATACTTTCTTAAATTTCAACTTTTCGCCACAACAAAAACTTTGTTTAATTTTTGCAATTTTACTTTTGAAAGTTTAGTTTAATTTTTGTAGCCTTACATCTGCATTTTAATTAGCTTTCACCTGAGTAGTCAACTTTCAACAACTTTCAAACTTTGCTCTTTACTTTTATTTTTTGTTTTTGTTATAAAATAATTTTCATAATTTACTTTAGGATTTTCCAACTTCCCTGTGGGATCAATATCTAAGACTTCATTAGAGCTCTTTATGTCTTGAACGATACGCATAATTACGTTGATATTAAAAGAGGTTTGGCAGTTTAAAAAGAGTTTTAAAAGATAAATTATTTTTATAAAAAAGTATTTTTGTTGGGATTATATTGCATATTTATTATAAATCTGCCTGCATCAAATTTTTGGCGCCTTTTGTAATTATTGAATATTTTATACACATCTTTGCATATACAAAATCTTGTATCAAGTTTTTGGCGTCATTGCCGAAACATTTTCTTATTTTAGTGTGTTTGCTTATTTTTAACTACTTGCTTTATTCAGTTTATGCGTATTGTAAGATCTAAAAATTTAGTACCTTACAACTTTGAGTTAGAAAGAACTGTTAGAAAAACTCAAAAACAAAAAAAGAGAAAGATTAATTTAGCAAAATGACTTGCAATTTAAACAATGTTGGAAATGAAAAGGAACATTATCAGAGACCTTTAAGAGATTATACAAATCCTACAGTAGATGAAATTCATTTGAGTATCCAAAACCCTGCTGCAGCTTCCAATTCATTTGAACTTAAACCTGTAATTATCCAAATGATAAAAAACAATCAGTTTAGAGGAACATCTACTAAAATCCTAATTTACACCTTGCTAGTTTTTTAGAACTGTGTACTACATTTTTTAGAACCCTTGCTAGTTTTTTAGAACTGTGTACTACATTTAAATATGATGGAGTGTCAAATGATGTCGTTAGACTTAGACTTTTTCCTTTTTCACTAAGGGATAAAACAAAGATTTGGTTAAACTCATTAGCACCAGGATCTATCAGACATGGGGAGATTTATCACAAAAATGCTTATCTAAATATTTACCACCTTCAAAAACTTCTAAGTTTAGAAATGATATCACATCTTTTTGTTAGTTTGAAGGAAAATCAATTTATGAAGCCTGAGGAAGATTTAAAGATCTCCTTAGAAAGTGTCCACACCATGCATTGTCAGATTGAATAGTAATTCAAACTTGTTATAATGGGTTGGTTGGATCACTTAGATCGATAATTGACGCTACTGCAAGTGGATCACTAATGTCAAAACCATTCGATGAAGCATATTCATTAATTGAAGAGATAACTACTAAAAATTTTCAATGGCCCTCTAAAAGGGTAAATCCAAAAAGAGTAGCTAGTATTCATGATTCTGATGTTATAGCTATTTTAGCTGCCCAAATAATTATTATATCAAAGAAGATAGATCAACATGGAATGAATTATTCTCAGACAGCGCCTGTGCTTGAGGAAAACTCATTAGGAAAAATGATAGAATCTTAATCTACTTATGAGACTTTAAATGCAATAAAAAATCATATTAAAA